GACAGTTCAGAGTCCCTCTCCTTTGATTCCTTTGCCCTTCCCCTACCCCTCCACTCCCCAACACACACACACACACACACACACACACACACACACACACACACACACTTAACAGGAAGCCATTAAGAAAGCACTGGGCACAGCCCTTACCCATTCCCCAATAAGGTGTGAGGCAGGGGTCAGGTAGGAGGAATGAATCCTTCTAAATCCACATTCCTCAGGCCCTTTCTCCCATTTCAGAGAGGAGCTTAAATCGCTCTGTCAACAGTAATTTCTTCCCCACCATTGTATCTCAGGGGGCTTGGAGTCCCCTACCATTTTCTCTATAGGCTGGAAGAGGAAGAGAAACAAATTCAGGTGCTGAGAGGGTGAAGCATCTGGCTCAGGGGCAAGACTCAGTCAGGCAGTGGTTCTAGAACCCTAGAATCCAGGCTCTGATTGACCCCAGTAAATCTTGCCTCTGATGCTTATACTCTGTATGACCTCAGGCAAGACATAACCTTCCTTGGTCTTTTATCCTGGCCCATAAAAGGAGGGGGTTGGACTAGATGGTTTCTTAGGGCCCCTTCAGCTCTAGCTCCCTACTTGTCTCTACTATATCCTATTACTGTAGGACCCCTGGGTCTAGCCTTTGGAGGGATTCCTTCATGAGATGAGGGAACCCCCTCTGAAAGAATGGCAGGCAAGCCTACCCTGGAGAGACAAGACATAACTCTGTCTGTGGGCAAAGACCCTCGGATGTATCCTGCGCTCAAGTGGGGCTGGGGTTCTTGTGCAGATCAGCTTTTTACAGGTTAATTTTTTATTGGGGGGGGGGTGCGGTACTAGGGAGAGATGGGGTAGGGAGTAGTAGAGGGTGGGAATTTTTACATCTCAACTTCCCTGTATGTGATCTGAGGACATCTGAGCTGCAGCTCACCATCTCTGGTGAGCCAGAGGAACTGGTTCTTGATGACAGATTTGTAGGTCACAAAAACTATCAGTAGGAAACTCCCTCACCTGCCCCCTGCCACCCTTCAAGGGCCTGGCTTTCTCTCTTTTATAGGTACCTAGCCTATCTCATTCCTGAAAAGTTTTTCCCCTGTCAACTAGCCTTGTGACCCTCTCAACTCCAACTTCTTCCTGTGGTTCCTAAGGTCAGAATCCCTTTTCTCCCCATTACCCACCACACTGCCACAAACAGGCTTCTCAGATCCTGTGTCTGCCAGGTCCTACCACTTCCCAAAGTCTCTATCTGCCCCTAGGTCTTAACAGTCAGAAAAACAGAATGGAAAAGTCAGCAAAATCTCTCTTTGGGAGATCCCTACTCCTGCTCATACCTACCCTGAAGAGCACATTCAGCTATCCAGCAGTTAAGTCCCTTTAATGGCATTTGCTCATAATGGATGGCTTAAGGCAATGTGGCCCTGGTGTTCTGTATAACGACTAGGGCTTCTCCGAACAGTGGTCAACGCTAACAATATTTTCCCGCTGAAAATACTAAAAGACGCATGTATAAAGACACTCAATACATGCTAAAATATTTCAGCATGAAAATAGGCTTAATTTTCCTTAGCTTTCTCCCCCCCCCCAAAAAAATTTCCCCCTCTTTCACCCCTGAACTTTGTTCCAAGGATATGTCAAAACCCCAGACCTGGAATTACCACTTATGGAAAGCATTCTTGTCAACCTTAAGGCCACTAAATAAATGTGAGTTGTTATTATGACTTATGTCAATATATTTCAAGTCCAAAAGTTTCCATGGTCGAATGAGTTTGATACATGCCGAGAGAAGGCATTACTACTCCCACGGTATCTGCATTTAGCATCGGACTCAAAGATGGGATATGATAAGGCCTGATGATTTAGATGAAAAAGGTCGGAGGATTGGAGTTACAAGTAAACTGTGACAAGGCAGGCCAAAAGGCTAACGTGATCTCACACGGACTACTGGGCCTTGTTCTGACAAAGGTCACAGTGAAAGGCCCACTCTGCCTGCTCCTAGTCCAATCACATCCAGAGTGGCGTGTTCAGAACGGGACACAGCATTTTAGGAAGAACACGGACAAGCTGGAGCTCAGGCAGGATGGGAAGGGGGCTGAAAATGATCTCTCGTGAGGATTTATAGAAAGAACCGGTGGTGATGAGCTTGAAGAAGAGAAAAGACTGAGAAGCACATTATGGAAGTATTGGGAAGGCTGTCATACACAAGAGGGATTAAAACTGTTCTGCTCAGCCAGGAGGCAGAACTACTAGCAGCAACGGATGGGAGATGCAAAAAGGACAGATTTAGGTTTGATGTCAGGAAAAATTTCCCGACAATCAGTGCCAGCCAAGAAGGGGATGAGCTGCCTCAGGAGGCAACAGGCTGCTTTCCGTGAAGGCCTTAAATAGGAGGCTGGATAACCAGTTATCTATCTGTGAGCATGGGATTTGTAGTTAGAGAAGCTGAGCTCGAATCCTGCCTGTCATCTCGTGTGACTCTGGCCAAATCATCTCTGCTCTCTGATCTCTGTTTTTTCACCTGTAAGATGTGGGGATTGGACTAGACCAGCAGTATCAAACTCAAATAGAAATGGGGGCCTTGCAGTCTGCACACTGACTCAGTTTTAAAATGTAATGTTATCTATGTTTTCCTGTATTTTGTTAAGTCTTTCCCAATTATCTTTGAGTCTGGTTTGGGCCACCCTCGGGAGGCGGCCCCATGCTCAACATCTCTGGACCAGGTGACCTCTCTGACTCTAGCAGAAGCCCCCGTCAGGCATAGTTGTGTTGGATGGCCTGAAGGGCCTTTAGGCCTCTTCCCACTCTGAGAGTCTAGGGTACCCAACTTGTGCCAAATGTACTGGAAAGGCCTCTCTTGGGCAAACGGGGCTTTTATCTGCATCCTTACAGGCTCATCATTTGTCAAGGAGCTGGATATGAGGTCGGTGCTGAGACTGAGTAATCCTGGGGCAGGATTATTAAGGTGCCAAATGCTCTTGGCAGGGAGGTGATGGTGTCGGAATCACTGCTGGAAAAGTCAGCTCATGTCTCTGAAGGCTCAGCTGGCCCAGGGTAAGTGGCTACAGACACATCTGTTCTCCCACTCAAACAGGCCTGCCAACAGCCTGGTTCACAGCCTGCTCTCTGGGGGCAGTCACCCTGCTCCTACCCCCCAAGGCTCCTGGGCTCGACAGCCTGGCTCCAACGAGTCAGGAAGACTTCGGAAGAAAAACAAAAGGCTAAAATGAGGCTGGCCAAGAAAAGAAAGGCAGCTCTAGCCAGCACTGACCCTATAGAGAAATTAGGCAAAATGAAGTTTCAGACTTTTAATGTGTCCTTCCTCCTCCTCATCACCACTGTTCATATTTTGACAGGACTTTGGTCACTTTCGTTATGCTAACCCTACAAGGTGAAAAGTGCAAACCTCACCATTTCCATTATACAGATGAAGAAACTGAATCTCAGAGAGGTGATGTGTCCACAGTTACAAATATGGGGTCTTTTGATTCCTAGAGTAGTGTTTCCATCTGATCACTGCAGTGAGTCCTCAAATGCAATGACCAACAAAGGTCGTCCCAGTCCTCACTGCACTGAATGTTGAACCTTTGTTCTCTTGATGGAGCCCAGCAGAATCCTATCATCTGGCAGGCCTGCTGTCCCCTGGGCCAGGCCCTCCCCGGCTGGCACCCACAATGCAGTTATCCCTCCACAGCCCTCAGGGCCGCCCCAGGCAGATGTGGCTAGTTCTCCCTCTGCTGACATGCCCTCTACTTATTACTGCCCGAGCGCCGGCTGTAATATATACCACGGGATTTCAACATTTTCTATCTGGCTTAGGTAAATAAGTGCCAGAAGGGCTACGATCACACTGGTAGGTACAAGACGGTTGGCAGACAAACACCTCCAGGGCAGAGGCCTCTTGGGGGAGGGGCTTTCATGCCACAGGCATAGAAGACAGGCAAAAAGAACAGGGTTCTGACTCCCCTGCTCCAGTGATTAGCATAGTGTCTGGCATACAGAAAGTGCTTAGTAAATGTTTCTTGACTGACTGACTGACCTGGGTTCAAATCCAGTCTCTCCCTATGTGACTTTGGGCAAATGACTTAACCTCTGTGGGCCTTGGTTTACTGATCTAAAATAAGGCAGCTGGATTAGATGGCCTCTGACAGCCCGTCTGGCTTTACAGCTATGATCACATAAGGGGCACAGGTAAAGGTGAAGAATTTAGAAAGGTCTGGGGACAAATGTCATAGATTTGTTTCTGTTTGTTCCTCTCCAAGCTCTCCCCATCCCCAAGACTGTGCTAAGAGGACAAGAAGAGAAGAAAAAGTCAGCATTTAAATTAGCTTTTCAAGCCACAGGAAACAGCTAATGATAGCATTTGGACAGCCAAGCTAGAGGGGGTGCCCCACCCCGTGGTTAAGGCTTGTACATGGAATCAGGCTTGTTATTACTTGTTTCCCAGAAATGGCTTCTAACCACTGTCACCTAACGGTCAGGGTGAAACCATCTCACCTCCTCCACCTGAGCCACTGCCCCTGCGGCAGCCCAGAGTATCTGGGAAGTGACATCCAGGCCGTTCCCGGCAGCTCTACTCAACTAGAGAGGCCCCTGGGCCAAAGCCATGGTACTGGAAAGAGTATCTACTGCTCCTAATTCTGTACCCAGACCAATGAGTAAAAGCTGCCGAAAGACAGATTTAAGTTCAATATGACAAAAACATTTCCTCATTTCAGTGGAATTGGCTGCTGGCTTCCCCCAATTTCAGCAGAGGCTTGGGGATGTTTATGAACGGGTTCCTGTTTAGGTATGGTCTAAACTAGACTGCCATTTACGTTCCTTGTGACTGAGATTATAGGGTTTCATGTGTCTGACATCAGAGGACCTGGGTCTTGAATCCCTGCTCTGTTCACTAAGTGTCCATGACCAAGTCACAGCCTCTCTGGGTCTCAGTTTCCTCACCTATATGATGAGGATGCACTAGGCCCCTTAAGTGCCGTCCAATTCTACCTCTGGCATCATCCTTGTATACATACCTGGGACGCAGTGGGCTTTGTTCTGGGATCAAAGATCCGTAGCTGCTTGTCCTGGAAAAGGCAAAGGAGAAGAAATCAGTGTTGTCACCACATCTCAGGAAAACCAGAGTGACCAGGCTCTCTTCCCTGAAGGCCTAAGAGCCCAGTATAGTAACCCTTGGTCCTTACTGAGAGTTAGTACCCACTAGGAACGTAGCAGAGCTTTGCTCACCAAGGAGCCATATGAAGGTTGGGAGTGATGAGATAGAGGGAAGGCCAATTACAAAACGGAGTTGGTTTGGTGCCAGAATTGAGAAAACCAATCGGATTCTATCTCATGAACTGACTCCATCTTGTGCTGCCACATGTATCATCCTCCATCTTGTTGTTTTTCTGCAGATCATCCATGGGAAACTAGATGGTATAAGCCATCTATTGTTTTATAGATGCAGGTGGATGCAATTAAGCAGCATCTCCCAATTCTGGGAAAGGAAAGTCCTCAGAACCCATTCAACTTCTCCTAACTTGACTAAAATTTACTCTTCCTCCCTCCCAACTTGGAAAGCCTCCAATCTTTTCTCCAATTAGAAATCAGATTACTTAATTTTGTATCCTGGTTTGTTTTCTGTTAATTGTTTTCTTTCAATTAACTGGTCTTACTTGATTGTTTCCAATACATAAAAATCTGTCTCCTCCCGTATTCACAGTCTTTGGACAGGACAAAGAATCCATTGACCTGTTTAGCTTACAAACTGCATAGTTTAGATTGTTTCCTTAGTTATTATAAATTATCTGCCATAGGGGTCAGGCACTCATGCCTCTCCAGCCTCAATTCCAGTTTTCTACTGTACTCATACCTCCCTTCCCAATCCCCAGAACCCAGAAGCCAGTCTGTTCCTGCCTCAGGTATCTGATTACCTAGAAAACCTAAAAAGTTGGAAATTAACAACAAAATGAAAAAGAACAAGTGAATGATCCACTCTTCTGTCTTTAATCACACCATTTATGAGCGCTCGCTAAGAGTTTAGGTACCCTTTGTAGCTCCACAGAGGATCTTTGAGAAGAAGACGAGGCCTCTGCTTTTAGGGAGCCCACAGCCTGGTTGAGGAGACAGTCAGCAAGCATGAAACAACTTTAAAAACAGTTAAATGTCCTTTGTGTGGTATTGTTATTGTGTAAAGGAGGATAAAATCTTTTGTGAACTATGGGGATCACCTAGGTATTGGGTTGGATTGTTCAGACTTTTCAAAACAAGAGGAATATTGTTATACTTGTTTCAAATGTCCTTGGTTCTCCTTTAGGGGGAATGGGTAGTGGATGGGAAGGACATCCTTATTTTTTCCTTGAGGGGCACAGAGATATACACTGGAGAGTTAACTAACAAGGGATTAAGTAGGAACACTGAGTGGAGCAATTAAAATTTTAGAGCGCTATGTAATAGAGGAGGCTTCTTGACAGGTTAAGTGTAAGCCTGGGAATACAGAACGGGAAACTGAAGTCAACCAAAAGCAATCCCCAAACTGGCAGAGGTATTCTGACATTCTCTTCTGGACCACTGAGGAACTTGAAACGGTGACGTGGGTCTCTTGGCCGAGAAGGGGTCATAGGCCAAGCAAGGCCTCAGAAATTATAGCTAAAGAGAACAGTTTAGGGAATTTTACAGACGAAGAAACTAAGGCTGAGAAAGGTTAGAATAACAGCAGATAAGTATTTTTTTTCACTTTACCTTGAGGTATTATTATATAATTTCCTTGTAATAAATATGCTAAAAAGATATTGGGGAAGGATTGGAGGGAAAGAAAAAAAGAAATGGGTGCCTTAACCAGGTAACCAATTGTAGTGGCAGTACAAGAGAAAGGGGAAAGGTCACTAGGGATTAGGTACTCCAGGTCCCTGAACCCTGGGAACCACAAGCAACCTTAGGGTCTAGACCCTCAGGTTGAGATGTAGAGTGCACAGTATTGAAAGAAGCAAAATCAGGCTAAATGCCCAGGTCTCCAATTTAGGGTCTGAGTAGGAGTTGGAATCTCCCCAAAAGGCCCAAGACTCAGGATAAGTTACTTATGCTTTGCAAACTATAATATGAAGGACTTCAGAGAAAGAAGAGATCAGTGAAGGCTGAAGTGTTGAATGGGGACTTCCTTTAACACTGTGCCTGGTTCATAGTAAGAGCTTAGTAAATGTTTGTTACTTAGATTTCTGGGAGTGGAGAGGGAAAGAGATGGTAGAAAAAGAGACAGACCAGCAGAGAATGGCCCACAGAGTTTTAGAATCCTGAGAAGTTAACTAATCCTCTAGGGTCCCTTCCAATACGAGCATTAACAAAAATACAGAGACAGGAATGAGAACACCTTGGGAAGGAGGGTAGGAAAGGGAAAGAACCGGCCTGGCAGAAGCAGAGTGTCCACAGTGCAGAACACTGAGAGAAGTTTGGATACGCAGGGCAAGGTAAAATGTGGAGTACTCTGAATGCCAGGTAAGAAGAATTTGCACTAATCTACATAGAAAAGCACGCTCCCTGGGTTCTGAGTTCTAAGCTCCACTTCAAGCTAGCTGTTTAGATGTGTCCCTGAACAAGACATGTGACCTTTCTGAGTAGGTAGCAGGCCTCAGTGCCTTCCTCATCCGCAAAATGTGAGACGGGGTGGACTCCTATAGTCTCTTCCAGCTCTGTTTTATATTTTAAGGTTCTCTTTAGCTCTAAGTTCATGGGATCATAGATTCAGGGTGGGCAGGGGTCTTCAAAGCCATGTACTCCAACTCCCTCATTTTACAGAAGAGGAAACTGAGGCCCAGAGAGGCTGAATGATTAGCCCCAAAGTCACCCAGATAATAAGAAGCAGAGGTGGAAATCAAACTCAGATCTTCTAACTCTGGTTAACGTCTAAATCTGGAGCTCTTTCCACCACACCAGAAAGCCTCTCAGACAGTGTGATTTAATACAAATCCTTGACAGCAGAAGAATAACATGATAAATGTAGCACCTTTGCTTCACAAGTTGTATCCATGCACAAAAAATCACACTTTCAGGCTTCACTAGTGAGGCCAGGAAGTCCAGCCTACTGCTGAGATCCTATAAAAAAAGGAGCTAAGCTCCCAGCTCCCAAACAAAGGCTCCTAATCTGCACAGGAATAGCCTGTTATTAATGGAAGGCTACCTGGTAACAGCCCCAGCTCCTGCTGTGGCCAACTAAGCTAAGGCTGTCCAAGCAGAGGGGTGAGTACTACGGCACTACAAGGAACACTGGTTCTCTCCTGGAGCACTATTCTCTGCCCTAACATGCTCTCATTAACTTGACAGTCATCAGTGGTCCCATAATTCACATAGCACAGTGGTTAGCAAGCCCCCAGACTCATTTCAAATAATAACACCTGCTGTGCAGCACTTTACAGCTCCAAAAGGTTTTCAGAGTTATCTCATTTTTTAATCTTCATTTTTTTAAAGTTGGTAGGTGTCCTAAGCCCCATTTTACCAATGAGGAAACCAAGGCCCATGGAAGTCAAGTGCTCTGTCCAAGTTCACATGGCAAGTTGATGGAAGAGCAAAGACAAGAACACAACCAGGCCTCTTTTTCTTTTCTTTTCACATTAGTCATATTGTAAAGAAGAATTAGAACCAATAGGAGGAACCACAGGAAAGAAGAAACAAAACAGAAGGAAAAAAAAAGAGAAAATAGTATGCTTCAATCTGCATATAAATTCCATAGTTCTTTCTCTGCATGTGGATAGCATTTTTCAACATGAGACCTTTGGCAATGTCTTAGATCCTTGCATTGCTGAAAAGAGAATAAGTCTGTCAAAGGTAGTCATCGCACAACATGGCTGTTACTGTGTACAACATTCTCCTGGTTCTGCTCACTTCACTCAGCATCAGTTTATGTAAGTCTTTCCAGTTTTTCTGAAGTCCACCTGCTCATCATTTCTCATAGCACAATAGTATTCCATTACATTCATATAACACAATTTGTTCAACCATAGGCATCCCCTCAATTTCCTATTCTTTGCCACCACAGAAAGAGCTGCTAGAAATATTTTTGTACATGTGGATCCTTTTCCCCATTTTTATGATCTCTTTGGGATAAAGCCCTACAAGTGCTATTGCTGGGTCAAAGGGTCTCTTCTTATTTTCTTTTTAACCATTAGTATGGAGTTTATTCTGTTATAATACTGTTTATAGGAACATAAATTATCCATTTTATTTTGTAACATTGGTACATTTATGTGTCTTTTTTAGAAATTTACTTTATTTTTAATTTACAGAATCCAGCCCAGGCCTCTTTTCTTCCATTGTGCCAAGTTTGCCCACCTCTTGTCTCATGTGGTATAGTAAGGCCAAAGGATTTCTGGCAGTCCATGAAAAATGTAGGGTTGCCACTGTGCACTCTCTCCCGTTTGTTACATGACCTACGGCAACCAACCATCAGCAATCTGTCTCTAATCTAACCTATCTACAACCCTGAAGTAGCTTAGCCTATTTTAATTTTGGCCCTTACATCCTGCCAAGTGGTGCAGGTCTGAGTAAGGCTGTTGCCCTGACCCAAGAACAGGCCTCCCAGATGAGGAAGGCATCTGATCCCCCAACTACTTTGCTGGCTATTCCCAGCCTGGGCTGAGGGCTAGAGCAAGCCAGGCGGGTATATGGAGAGAAATCCTTCCTCACATCTGACCATTCACAGGGTTAGGGCCTGGAAATGACTTCTTGTATCTAGAGTTTCTGTTGGGGTGAAGATGAAGGCCAGGGTGAGAGGGATAGCAACTCCAGGGTCTGTTCCTGAACCCCAGCACTGCCAGGTACCACCTGTGAGACCTTGGACAAATTAACATAACCTCTCCAGGCCTTGGTTTATTTATATATTGAAGGGGTTGATTGAGATGATCTCTGAGGTCCTATTTTCACCATGAATTTGAGCACGAGCTTTCAGTTCTAAATCTCTGGCCCTTGGTGATCATCTGCACCCTGCTAGGATCAGATAAACGCCAACTCTCTCTTCTACAGAGGGTGGGGCTTTTGACAGATTCACCAACATTTTATGATCTGGGAGGTGCTGCCTAAAAAGAACTCTCTACTCCAA